ATTTAAAGCTGATACAAAGAAAAAATGTCTTCACCAGTTGCCAGGTTCACTGACTCAACATACCAGAGAATTTATAAATATTTCATGTAGAAGTTTGTTTGTTTGAAGTATAATTTAGGAATGTGAAGTTGATTTCACTCTGCTTTTTTGGCAGCCTTTTCAAAACAAGAAGTAATATGTGCAGATTCGTATGTGGAACTTTCTTGCAAAGCCTTCTCCTCGGATATGGAACTATTAATTCTGGAAGCTGTACTTAATCATAATTTAACTTTTCCTCTGGCCTCAAATACTGAATCGGCACTGCAGATCTGCACAAAAACTAGTGAAATCAGTAAGTCTGGTGAGTAAAGTTTAGGTAATACCAATATCACAACAAATTTCAGTTTCTGTTCACTTATATTATTCGAATAATATTCAATACCTATCATTATCGATTTATAGATGTGAATGTGTCTTGATCGCGAAGGTCTGCACTTGAGTTCAAGAATCATTTTTGTTCGACTTGAGTCATCGCTTTAAGGTTACAACTTGTGGGTTAAGGGTGTTCCTACTGAGATTTGAACCAGTACCCATCGTTTCAAACACCTTAGCTTTATTTACTATGTTATGATGGTTCATCTGTGTGCGATGGATATGGTTCAATTTTATAAGAATTGTTATGAGTTCATAACAGTTATTTTGCTCGATTAGATTCGATATAACAAAAAGAAGGTAATTTGGATTATACGTATAACGTATTCGTGAAAAAAAATTAATCTAGTCTGAAGTTATTTGTTTTATACATTTATTTGGAAGATAAAACAGATATTAAGGTATGAGAAAATCAAGAAGGTCAAAGAAGAATGCTAAATTAGAAGTTAAAATAACAATGAAACCCAATAAAACAGCAATATTAATCTATTGATTTTCATTCCAAGCAGGAATTCGGCGAGTAGGGTTCAAGTCATGACAAATAGATTTCGAACATATCGAGGTGGTCAGAACTTTGTAATCTCTAAGCAGTGGAGGAATTTGACGATTCGTTTACAACATGATCTATGGACAGGTTTAAGAGATGTGCAAATATTTATTTTATGATGTCTCAATAATATTTTATTCTCAGCTTTTATCACTGTTGATGAGTACATGTAATCAGTTCTGTCTTACAACCACTTGAGTATCTGCAAAATAACATGTAGCGTTTTGAAACTACTTTGAACAGATTTTGTTTCTGAAAGAAATCAGTCATTGCATATAAGTCAGGCACACTTCATTTGAATTCGATTAAAATGCACCCTGGTGTACATAAAAGTTAACTACAGCGAACGATTTTCATCAGCATCCGCACAGTCGCTTGTATGTTTTGTGAGACATTCAGTTATTTCAATGCCTAAAAACAGTCTTCACATTTAATCATGGTTTTTAGTTTACCAACTATCCAAAGGATAAAAGAAGTATTACAGATACTGGTTGAAACTAACTAACATGTGTCTATCGGGAATTGACATAGAGTGACTCATTTTGCATCAGTGCTTGATTTGACGCCTAACAGTCTTGTTTTACAAATGGAGTTTATTGTAAAAGTCGAAAGGATTGTCCTCTGTCGTTCAATATCGTCTTTACTGTAAAGTAACTTACTCTTTAAGAATAAAAAAGTAGTGTATCAGGAACTACCCTATAGATGCTATTTGCTCACCTTAACTTCTATTTGATAATCGTCCTTCTTGTCACTAATGCGGTGTTCGTAAGTCTACAAATCCCACAAGCTGCATTTCCGTGGAATTTTTTTAGACGTTTCCCTTGACATCATTGAAATTCAAGCAGTCATTGGTGAAGTAAAATTACCATCACATTGCCTATCGGTACACATGGAATAATTTGATTTGACCACAGAAAAAAACTTATAAAAATTCATTCTGAGAGATCTTTAGGGAGGTTTATTAATAACATACAAGTAGCTTATATATATATATATAGTACTATCTTCCAAATAAATTATTGCAATCTGTTTATATTGCCTGGAACGTACTGTACAGCTGTCTTGTCCTAATTGTGAACTTTTCATTAGTTCATGCAATACGAAATTTGACCTGCGACTCTCATGTACTAGAAAAGAGTACATTATGATTGACTAGGATATGTACCCATTTTCAGTTTCTGACTTTTACAGAAGTGCTTTATATTTTGACCTTTATCCGATCTTATTTTTGGGTATGGTTTTTACACTTATATTACTGTATCTCAAAGGCTCTTAGTTGTAAGTTCACTAAAGCATATGAAAACCAGTTAGTAACAAGCACTTGGATGTTATTTAGATCAATTATTTTGAAGAACTTATTACAAAGCATCTTTTGAACAAAACTGAAATCATTCAGATTGATTTTGAAAACTAAGAACCAATAGACACCGGTTATTTTAATATCAACTCTTTATATCTTAATGCGCATGACAAATTAGAATTCAGCGAACCATCCATTTGCTTAGAAATGTGATGTATCACGGTAAGTTGAGTTCAACAAGTGCTGCTATATATGTACATATATATATATATATTATTAGCAGTTCAAATTCGTAAGGCTTTAATCAGAACATCTTGAGATGCATTGGTTAGCAGACAGTTCTTTATGTGTGGGCAATAGATGAAATAGCACTCATGCTCCTGTTTTAATCGGTTTGAACCTTATTGGCATTCATACTTCATCTTATTACTATTATTTGTGTTTATTTGTTATGAAAACTGATCAAACAACTTCGTCTTTACACACATATATTTATGTACGTTTCCCTAATAAAATGCCGGTAGATATGTGTGATCTTGAGATGTTTCTGTAATCATAACTACATTTTTTACACTACCAGATCAGGTTTCTGGTTTTGCTCAACGAATATGATTATTTCCTTCCCAAGTGATATAAAACAAGTTCACGGTAACCCTTGAACAAAATCTTCAAGCATGCCAACCAGGTCGGATGCAGAAGTCGATTACTCTTTATTACTTGATCTTTTCCGTATTCGAAGGTTTTGAACTTAAATAAGTGGCTTTCTCTCTGCGCAGGTTGATGCTGCCGCATATCCACTAACCGACCATTTTTTCAAGGATACAATAAAACATGTTAGTTAGCACCAACCACTTAATTAGTAGTTGTCTGATAAAATCTTCAGCTTCAGGAACATTTTTGCTCCAGTTTTCATTTATTTATTACCTGCTTTATTATGATGAACTATAAACCAGTTACAACAACTTATTTGTTTTCAATTTTATCTGGACAAGTCAAACATTCATGAGAAATATGTGTCCTTAGACAAATAAATTAGAAAGTCAGTTATATTTTGAGGAGTTATGTCAGTAATGCGAATAGTTGACACACTATTAGTACAGTGTAGTTGAGTGAACATTCTTCAAGTTTTACCCAGTTAGCAAAGTCTCTGGATTCATTTTCACCTACTTTAATAAATAATCTAGACATTCACTGCACATTAAAAAGAGCGTTGACTTTTTTCCCATGCAAAATATATTTATAATCTACAAAATTCACAAATATTCGTTCTCATTTTCCGTTTACGCATAACAATGATAAGCGGTCTGGTATAATAATTTCACAGCTTGTCACTTTATTTTTATGTCCATTAAGTGAAATAACTTCAAATACCCACTGACAAGATTTTCGCTAAATGCGATAATCAAGAGATAAACATATTGAAAAGTTACACTACAAAGGTGTATATTCATCACTTTGAGTATTTCGAATCTCATTAAAGTGTTGTAATTCAAATGTAATTACTTTGTATTCAGTAAGAAAAAATGTTCGGTAATAAGTGGAATGGAACCATAGTATCTGATACAATACATTGCTAAAAACATCTGATGAACTACCTTTTAGCTCCTGCATCAATCAGAATGGAGATAATGAGGTTTAGATTGGTTGTTAAATTATTAGGGACCAAAACGGAAATTCACCTTGTAATTCAGTCAGTATACTTTCAGTTTCTCTCATTATTCGCAGTCGATTAAATGTACTCTGATCATTCCCAGTCTCATCAAATTCCTTGATGACACACTGCATCAAATAAATTAAATTTTACTAGTTCATAACTTTTCAACAATACCCCTAAAATTGTATATAGATTTTTGTGGATTTAGAAACTGTACAACTTGAAATGGCTTGCAGTCCCACAGTTCGTTTATCTGACCAAAAGAATGTGATATGGAGATCTGGAGAAATTTTTCTAAGGTTCAATAGACGTATTGCTGTAATATCAAAATTTGGGAATTTACTGACTATATCTTACAACTCCCTGTTGAGCATCTGAATAAAAGCCTCCATATACCTACTAGAAATGATAAGCAGATTATAATGAGACTGAGCAAACTGAATTCACTAAAGATCATTAAACATAATAATTTCCTTCACCATAAACTGATGTTTATTTGTGATTGGTAACAGAATTCACAATATTTTAACAGAAAGGCAATATACGAATGTTAAATCCTATCTTCAATACATTTTCTTGGCCCAACATAACCGGTACTAGCTAGAAATCTGTTAGTTTTTCATTAAAGTTCTTTGGCAAGTAATTTATTCATAAATGTGTTTATTGTAAGCCAAATTCATAAAATACAATTTCTAAAGAAAGTAATTTCATAAAATCTTCATTGTTTTCTTTTCAAAGTATAGTATATTGTTGTTAGTAGTAACATCTTTTTACTACACCAATTGAGTCAAGGATGAATGACATCAATTCTGGTTTAATAACTAAGAAGTTATTACCTCAAAAGGCCCACATTTCAGTGAAGTGTTATAATATAAATTCCTCATGATTCAAGTGTACTTTTTTCGATAATTATTGTGGATGCATGCAGGTTGAACGATAAACATTTCAGATTTGCGTCACTTTCGTCTCTAAATATTACACACATAATAGATAAACAACCATCGGTATGCACACATCTGGGTTACTTTTTCTGACCGCTTTTCTGGTAGCGTCGTAGCTGTACTTGAAACATTTTAATTAATTTTGTGATAAACCGGCTAAGATAATTCAATATTTAGACATAGGTAAATTTATTACTACCTTTCCTCGTTATCACAGTTGCATACAGATGTAAAGATAGAGACACTCATTCAATTACCACTACACACTTTCACTTCCTTATAAAAAAAGAAATGCATTTGGAAAGTAATGTAAACGATAGTATGACTGAAACCAGAGGCCTCCAAATTTCTAGTTTATTGTCTCAACTATCTATTAGCTTGAGGAGTAACGATGGTTTCAGGTAGCAGTTTTACTCCCATTCATTAGAAGAAGTACAGAAACAAAGTACACTGTACGAGAATAATCACTAACTTATGA